AAGTTTTTAGAATAAAAATTACTTTAAAAGATTGAAATACAATACTCGCCGCTAATAATAGCTTTCAGTTGCAGTAACTAATAATAGAAAATCAAATTGCTCAATCGGTTAACATATCATAGACAGTTCAGATTGTAAAAAAAAATGTTTCTAACTTCTAATCAGTCATTCAGTGTTCCCTCGAACTGTGTTATAACATACATATTCATCATAACAGCAGTAAAACTAATCGTACACTGACCGTTTTCATGTAAATAGCAAATAAAAAAGTAATAGTTGAATGCATTTTTAAAGCCTCAATAAAGATGTAAAAGACATGTTGGAGAATAAGTAATAGTCAGAAAATGTTCAGACGAAGAAACAATTATGTTTAAACCATTAATATTTTTTTTTCACCAGATTTTTTCATGTCAAAAGAGTGTTTTTCAAAGATATATATCGCATATTAAAAGCAGCATTAACAAAAAATTGAATTTTTGAAAAATAAAAGTTTGATTAAAAAATATCAAAATCAGAAATGTTAATGGTGAAATCCTATATTATTAACCGATTAAAATAGAGGTGGCAAAAACAAACAAAAAAGTGAAATTGAAACAAAATAAAAAAAAAAAAAGATGGAAAAAAAATTTTGATCATTTATGTCATCTGAAACCTTGCTTTCTTCTTCTTCATATTTACGGGTTTCCGCACCTGATAGGTCGCTGGTATAAAAGCGTCTACTGAATTAACTGATTCAGAACATTACCGCAACTGTACAGCGCTGTGTTCGCTGATCTTTTCTTTTTTTCTCTTCTTTTTCACTTCTCTTTAGAGATTTTTAAGACTGCCATAACTGCAATTTTTATCAAATTAACTGCACAATAATTTCCATAAAAATTGAACTGCTTCCTTATCTCTGTTAGCAAAACAAAAATAAAGTCTAAGTTTAAGTCATTAAACACAGAAAAACTGAATTCTAACTCGGTAAAAAAATTTCAAAGATTTTTAACAAAAACAATTCATTTTTTGCCTTTGCTTCACCGTATGCTGCAGTTTCTCTTCCCAAACGTGAAAAAGTTTAGTTAAATCTCATTCAATCCGCCATTTTTGTTCCATCTTTATTATGTTATTTTAATACTACATCAAAAAATTCGGTGTACTGAAATCACTTCAAATGTAGCAGATTTTTTTGCCTAGCAAGCCTTACACAAACCGATGAAAAATTTTGCCACATTTAAAGTAGTAAATTTTTTAATTTTCATTCCCTGAACCTCCCGTTTTTTATTCTTTGATTTTATAGGTTATATATTCCGTCATCAGCACTAAAGTGGATAATGCTTTGCAACCACAAAAAAATTAGTGTGTAATCATGGGGTTACCATGAGACTACGGGCAAGACCTAAAAATAACCCTCATTACGCTCCTAAAGCAATATTCGCTTAAAGATGTTTTTTTTTTTTTCTGAGGTAGTGAGAAATAAACAGAATTGGCCAACAAAGTGTGAAGTAGAGCGTGAAAGAAAGTACAAAGAATATCTCAGAGCTGATTAGTATCTATAAATTAATTCAGAAACTGGTTTCTTTTCTTTTTATAAGGTTAATTTCTATTGAATCCAGGCATTAGTAAACAAGACTGTCAGATGATATTTTCATGAAATCTTCATAACAACTTAGCAATAAATCCCTTAAATGCCAAAAACTAGCATAAGCTAGTTGCGGCACTGATGCAAAATAACATCTATAAATAGGCTCCACATTAGCCCTCTAAGTGGCAAAAACTAAAAATTTCTTTGCAAACGAAAACTGGTTAAAAGGTCTATCCATTTGATGGCAATGTTTGAAGTTATTGAATCTACACTTTTACCTATCAACTCTTAAAACCCTACTCAACAAAAATCAGCAAGATCACCTTACGTTGTTATTTTGTTATTGTAGTCAAATTGATAGTGCCAAAAAACCAAACCTATTTGACTAATTAAACAAATTCATTCACTCACAACAATCATTTTGGAAGCAAAAAAATTTTCAAATTCTGGTAGACATCCGACTTTTGGTGGAACAAAACCCCCTATGACGTAGCATCATCACTTTCCCTCACAAACATTAATGTCACGTTAAAACCTGCAGTCAATACAAAAACACTCAGTCGAATTTTGTAGCACCAAATTCAGTTATTTTACAAGGAGTAACAAATAACACTAAAAGTTAGAAAATTTTCATGATTTTTTGAAACTTTCCTTCAACCTCAAGTCCCCAGTTAATTCGGTTTTGTCAATGTCAACGTGCTTCCTTCATTCATGTAGTATGTGACTTAAATAATCCTATTTACAGCGTAGTTGTTCGAAAAAGCAATAAATACAAAAAAAGTAAAACAAATTTTTTACGGAAAGTGTTTCCAATAAAATTTTAGAAGCAAAAAATGTTTGCAAAAAGTTTTTGTGTAAATTCGTTTGTGCCAGCCTTAAAGTGACCGGTTGTAAGCAACAGAAGTGCGTTTTGGGTACTTCCCCTACGATACTTATTTTAACTTTCAAATTTTGTCTTCCAAAAAGCTTTCCAAATAGTCGTACAATCATTATATCCCAAAATAAGTCATATTCGTTTTTCTTCCTGTTCAGTACCTCGTAATTCAAAAAAATTAATAGAAAACTCGGTTTTCTGCTCATCACTAGATAAAGACCTTACAGTCGCCTCATTTTCATTAACTAAATCAAGACAAAATACAAATCGTAATGTTTTCTGATCTTCATAGCCTTCCCTAAAAAGTACAAACCTTCTTCTATCCTCAAAATCTGCTTTAATTAAATCGTATCTATAGGAAAATAAGCCGTTATAACCAGGTTAATTAGTAGTATTTAAAATAAGAGACTTGCAGCGCCATAAAAAAGCAAAATTTTACCTAAGAAAACTTAGTTCCTGGTTAGTGAATCTCATTCTTATGAATAACAACCTTTCTATCTTAAGCTAGGCACAGCAATACAATACGTAAGCTTCGCAGTATACAGCACCAAATATCCCAAATTCTTACTAAAATCCAAAGCCAGGTTTTAGACAACTAGCGCGTAGGTGCATTCAACCTAGGCCTGCTGCATTTTATAAAATAATCTGCAAAATAAGAAAAGAATAGTCTTTTTTATCTATTAGTAACTTCCTAACTTCAACCATTAATCGTTGGTTGTACTTTACAGCTTTCACATAGATTCATGCTTAATTTTAGTTTCAAGAGTATCGTCAACACTGCCTCCTAATTTTGATGCTTTCTACATTAATAAAGAGAAAAGATGTTGTATAATACATAGAAGCAAATAATTAAGATTTTTTTCACCAATTTTTGTTCAAATTCTCCTTTAAAAACTTCCACTCTGATACCCCAAATTGTTTCCAAAGTTCAAAAACAGAATTACCAAATAAAATCTTATAAAAGTTCTAGTACTGGAAAATAATTAATGCAACTCCCGACAGTATAATATATTTTCATCGCAAAATTCGCTATTATAATGGCTTAGCTCCAACAAAATTTTTATGCCCAAGCACGTCTGCTTTCCATCAAAACGATATAACTCATCAAATTTATGTAACACCATTTCCTAAGGTTAGTTCAAGAAATCGATTGTGCCAGACAAATGTATTTAAAGTAGTTTGTCATTCCAGATTATTACCATTGAAGTGAAATAAAGTACAGAAATAACAAAATGTCTTAAAGTTATTAAATGCTGAAAAAAAATTAACTGTGCCGTTTAAAAAAGAGAGAAGACCTGAGGTGATGAAAGTAAAACTGGAAATTCTATAAAGCTCATTTACAATAATCACAATCAGTCAGGTTTTCAACGTACTGAAACTTGTTTGCTGGTCCTTTCAAAACAGTAACAAAGACCATACTGACTTCAAAAATGTCTTTTACTAGCCTTATAAAGTAATTATTTCCGATGCGTAAAAAACCAATTCTAATCGTCATTCCCCTTTAAACTGATCAGTCAAGACCCCACTCGTTCTCAAAACCACTTACAAACCGCTCTACCCTACGCAACAAATGATAATCACAATGCCTGTCATAAAAAATAATAAAAAATACAAAATCGCCACATGTCCACTTTGTCAATACCGGTGACACTTTCTTGCCGTCTTATCGCAGAAACCCATTCCATCGTTCTCCTCCGCCGATGCAGAGATCTCCAGCATCAAATAATAAGAACTAAACGCAGCAGCCAAAAACTAAGAGATTTTGGTAGCAGTTCCCACCCAAGATTCCCTCTCCCTCTCAGAAAAAAGAAAAACAGCATTCCTACATAGAACCTAAGGCAGAAAGAACGAAAAAATTGTACTGCATCTGACTGTCATCGGTCAAGGCAATGACTACTAAACTAACTCCTCTTCAATCGACTTCCTCAGCAATTAATGATGTTACTTCCGCAGATACTTTTTTTTTTCCACAACTTCCAATACAATTGTCATCTTCAAACGTCCCACAAGACCTGTTTTTTATAACTCGAAGAATTACCCGAATTAAAGCTTTAATAATTCCGAAAGTATGATAAACAATCTCAAGAACTTTATAATCCCATTTTTGCTCCGGTGAAGAACTATTTTGTGTTGCAGGTAGTAAATAAACTTCCTAATTACTAAAAAAGCCCAACTAACTTTGACAAAATCAGATACAGATCTCGTTACACTTAATGTCAGCGATAAATGACCACGTTACACGACTAAAAAACATTATACAATAAAGTTCTCTGCAGAAATTTTACCGTTGAATGAAATTAACCGAGAGTATAAATAAATGTGCAATATTAAAATAAGTTGCAATTAGGTGCCAAACAGAAATAAGAGAGCAGTATCGAAGTCAAATAAATTACCAGATGTAGAATCAAATTGTTTCAAGCTGTAGTTTATTTGTAAATCAAATTTTTCGTTGGTCTGATGCAACATAACACATTGATAATGCTGTAAAAAGCGAAGAATACAAAAAACCTGCCACATTACAAAAATTTAAAGAATTCTATTTTTAGCTGAACTTCTGCCAAATCAAGATTTTGGTTCTAAATGAAACTTCTCGAGGCGCATGTAAGCGACTGGTCCACAATCTTCAGAGGAAGTAACAACACAATAATCATCAACAACTATACGTCTCTTGAACAAGGGACAGTCCAAAACAAACGTTTCATATTCACCGCCTTCTCCGCAAACGCTCACGCCGTATTTTGCATTCAGTGCCAAGAGACGATCGCGAACCTTAAAAAAAGAATAGGACAAATTCTGGTCAGGTGGAAAAGCTTAAAGTGCAAATTTGTTATGTAACAAGATAAAAAAAGCAAAGTTCCCACAATTTTACCTCTACGAGAGTTTTTCCTATATGTTGTTGATCGAGACCAAGAGTAGCAACTTTCACCAGTATAGCACTAATTCCGTCATGAATCATTTCATCAAGCAAACTTTTCTGTTCCACATTCCAAAGCTTACATAGTGGTTTCAAACCTAATCTCAAGCAAACATTTTCAACACGGTTTTTCTGATATCGACTTAGTATAGCTCCAGCAGAAACGCCTACAAAGAGACCAAAAATTGACAGATAAACAAAAGAGAAATACGTTGCAGAATCTCAAACATATTAGACTACTATGTCGTAAAAATTAAAAATACCTATTTCAAATTAAGAGAATAAAACCTGAGAGTCAGAAGAAGAAAAAGCCGTTACGATAAAACCTCACCAACCCCTTATATATCTTTTCCAATTAAGGCAACAGAAGTCCAAAAATAGCACCTTTTATATCTGGGAATTTGTGCAAGACCTTCACCAACAACTGGTAAAGATCTTCAACTTCATCGTTTTTTGTTAAACTGTACTCTAATGACTGGTTAAGCGGAAGCCCACGGATTTCAGCCCTAAAGAGCGGTAATTCAAGGGCTTCTCCGTAAAGCTAAAAAAAAGGCTGCGAAATAAGCCAAATAACTCCCCTGAGTTTGTATTGAGAAAAGCAGAAAAGTAGAGCAGAGAATTCAAATAAAAATGTTATTACACAAGACTAACTTGAACTCCTTGATACCCCACGCTTTGGTACATAAAGCTATCGACCTCATCCAACCCTCCTGAAGGGTATAAATTCGCCAAACAAACAATTTCGTGACCTTCTTGCGTACATTTCATCATGTTATAACAACTGTCCTTACCTCCGGAGACTAACCCAACCACTTTCATTGCCTTTAGCCAAATTCACTGCAAAACAAAAAGTAGTAGCGACACCATGCAGAACATCCGACTTCTAAACTTCGAAGTACGGATCCCTTTAGAGCGTAACATACTCGCCGCCAAGCATATATCTTCAAATCAGGACCCAAGAAGGGTAACCAAAGCACACCGGTGCTACCGCCCACTTTTTGCTTACGAAATGCAGCAACAGTGACTTTGCTGTCTGCCACGAAGGTGCTGCATTTCCAGCCCATCCCCAATGGTCGAGAGGGAGACGAAACGAACTGTAAGTTGCCAACTAAAACCCCTGCAGAACTCTCAGACGTCAATGAACGTACCTCCACCCAACTTAGGACCCAAAAAAATCCAGCTGCCTCATACTACGACTCTTTTATTTTGCAAGCGCTAGCGCACACTGATGAAGCAAATATAATGATCCATCACTCCCAGCTAGCGATGCTAAAGCTATACCTCATTAAGGAAAACCAATATCTGCCACTTCTTTCAAATCCTCCAAAAAAATTCTAGAAACCTTAACTATTTTTGGCTGTAGCCAAAAAAATCCCAAAAACCAGTGCAAAAATCACAAAGAAAAAATAATAAATAAAAAAAGTAATAGCTATCAAATACATACGTTAACACAAGAAGTTATATTCTAACTGAAAAATGAGCTTTATACAAACCACTGCACTTGAAAATGAAAAGAAACTTTGAACTGCAAGTAGAAAAGTAAAATAAAAACAAAAATTTAAGTAACACCTAAGTCAAACTGAACATGAGCCAAGTCGTAAATTAAGCATATAGCTACTCAATGAAGAAAGACTCCATAATAAAACGTAGTTGGATAGCGCTCACAGCCCAAACCCGTCAGCATTTTTCTCAGAAGCTCCAAAAACAAACAATTTAAGCACTGTACATACAGCTACATGGCATATAAAACCGAAGGATGAATAGCGCAAGATACAGAAGAGAGGGATAATATGTACAATTAAGTCTCTCATAAAAGAATCACGAACAACTGGGAATCAAATCATCGGTATACCTGAAAAGTGTCACAGAAAGTACTCCTAACCACTTCCTACTTAATGAGCAACCAGCAATTTAAAGTCAACAGAACCATTAAAAAAAGAATTATGTTGCAAATGAATCTTAATTGAACTACCAAGTTGTAGAAAAAGCGAACAACCAACTATACCCACAAAGCTACACAACTTCTTGAGACGCCAGATGACCAGTTAGATAATCATCACATGGAGTAAAAAATATGAAGCACAAAAGGATACAAAAGTATTCACTGGAAATATGATCCAAGAAATGACCAAGCACGTGTCTAAGAATAATATGACAGCTCTTCGGCGTTAGAAGATGAGTGCTGCTTTTCCTGCTCCCTAGTGAACTGAACAAATTGGTCGTGTTGTTCTGAAAAAAATTTTTAAAAAAGACACTTCTAAATTGCAATCTGATAAACCATTAAACTAATCTCATTGCCTCGCATAAAACACAGATATCAATAAAAATAAGAACCTTCCAGCAACTTATTCAACTTGCTTTCATATTCAAAACGAATGCGGATTTCTTGCTGCTTAAGAAGTCTTTCACAAACTAGCTGTACCTAAAATAAATATATTCAAATTTTTATTCTTATTGTGAAAAGAATATACACTTGTCAATGGCAAAATCATCCACAAAACGAGATATAAAAAGAAATTCAAACTTCCAGCCTCGACAGTTCTAAAATGCTTAATGTTACAAATCACATTTTACCTGCTTCAGCGAGAACTGCGGCTTATCAAAAATGCTGACTTGTGCACCTGAGTGTTTACGAAAAAAGGACGGATTTGTGCTTGCTTCACCTTCCGAATCACTACCCATCTAGAATAAGCTCTTTAGCTCTTTCATGTGACCTTAGGCAAGAAGTTTCATGACAGCAATATCTAGAAATGAGAAGACATGAAGTTAAAAAGTACTGTTGCAGTCGGCGAGTGTGATGAGACACGGTACCCATTATGCAAACGACAATCATCTCCATCGACCTGTTGTTGTGAGAAGGAACCCCCTTCTACTTCACCTCCCGCGATTTCTGTACTACACTGAACAGTTGAACAATCAACAAAAAGCCTTTTTGGAAGTAGTCGACGACGCTTTAAAGAACGGACCTGGATTACAGAGAAATGTGATAACTTTAAGCATTGAGATATTAGTGAAAAAATACGTTACTTCAAAAAAGTGTAGCGTTCATACTTATTTTGAAACCAACTCTTCTCAACGACAAAAATTCAAAGTTATTTCAAATCTTTACCTCAGCTTTCAGATAGGATTGTAACTGGCCAGGAGATAGTTGAACGTGGCTTGCAACTGCAGCAAATGGAGATGTTCTGAACGAACTATCGCCTCCAGATGCAAATTTACTAGGCGTAGAGAGATTTGACGCATTCGGTAGTGACGCAGCGAGAGTTCCTAAATATGGGCGAAAAGGAGAACAACCCGTGTTTGTACACCGTCTTTTAGCATCAGAGCCATCGTCTGGACTTATGTACGCTTCGTAATCATATGGGCGTTTTAGTGCTACACCACAAGCCATCTATGTCGTCTACTGCAAATAATACAACAAAAGATTAGAAGTATTCAATACATGCAATCATTTCCAAAGTACCATAATTCATTTAAAGTGTTGAAAAATCCTCAAAATCTACTAGAGAACTGAGACTTTCATAAGCCCTTCACAAGTTACTAACACCTCATGTAAAATAAAGCCATTCAGACTACAAAACTAAACAGATTTCTAGCACATCCACATATAAAAATGGTGCGAAACTCCCGCAAAAATTTTCTCCCGTAAGCTTGGCTTAAGAAAATTTAAGAGCTCTTTAAAACCAGGAGACTGATTATTCCAAGAATATTTTAATGATCAATTTCTACTAATGAACCTTTATGCCCGCCACCACAGAAAGCCGTTTTCGGCTTCTGAAAATATCAAGTTCTTCACAAATATCGTCTCGAAAGTGAGCTCATTTGCAACTAATCAAAAATTCTATTTACTTCTTTCGTTACAATCCATCTTCACTTCTATATTTACTTGAAAATAACAGTCGCAAGGCGTGAAGAAAGAACCTGACTATTCCATTAAAATATTATTCCAACAAATGAATCGAGAAACTTATGATAACAACGACGAGCGAAATAATGTGTATAAAAGAAATGAACATAAAAGTCTATTTGCTGTCAGTACTCCAACAACCAAAGTTATCGTTGATAAACTTATTGTTTATGAGGTTAAAATCGAGGTGCACACCCAAAAGGGTTTTCCTGTTAGCAAAAGAAGTAGCAAAACTTCTTAAGCTGGAAAGCAAAAAAAGTCATCAGGACTGAGAAAAATGTTAAAAAATTGTTTTCTCCGTAAAAATTAGTTGGAAAAACTTGAGCGTATGAAAATTTATTTCCAGCAAAAAATAAATGTTACACTTCGTATAGACAGCCATTAAACTAACCCCATTTCATTTATTACGCGCCCGTAAGCATATAACACAAATAGAATAAACTGCTTACAGCGCAAAAAGTTAATACACCATTATCCTGCCCATTCACGTAGTACTTCTAAAATCAGTAAAATAAATTTCAGTTTCTGAAGAAAACTTTAATACTCCTATTTTTAATTATTAGCCATAAACCTGCTCGCTTACCACCTTTTTATTTACCAGCTTTTCCGTAGTCTTATCATAAAACTATGCTAACCAAAGAAGCCTCGATACAGTTCTCAAAGAAGCCACTTCTCCAATCTCTTTCAAAAACAAAAAAGTAAATAAGTAGAAGCAGAAAAAAATAAGGGAAACGCATTAATGGAAAGACAATAAAATTAAAAAAAAAAAACAAAATTTCACTGATACACTAATCCTTCTAACACCATCTGCAAGCAGCCCATATCTACATATGCTGCACAACAACAAGTCCTCAGCATATATAACAAGAATATCACTGTTAAAAGAAGAAACATGGCAAAAATGACTGAAACCCTTGAAAAAATGAAGCGGTATGCAGGAGCAACTAAAGTGGTCGAATATGCTGTACCGCAGTGTAAACGTTACGTACCCACGCAAACAAGTTGCCGACGCCTTACTATGTGCAACCGTTAAACATTCAAACTTTCTTTACGTGACACAATTTTTTTATTTTGCAGCGCTATATTCTTAAATGACTCGAGAAAATAAAGAACGAATTACCCTGTTCGAAAACAACCACTTAAATCGCATGATATGTCAGATTTTTTGTACCCTGGATAACCACTTAGGTTGAGTAGTAGGCAATGTTGGTAAAATGACTCAGTTTCCAAACAACTGTTTTAAAGCACACATATTCTTTAAGCTGGTATCTTACTATTGCTTCTCGACTTCATTTGTTAATGTTTCTATATGTGAATTTTCAGCTAGTTCCGTCAAACATTCCACACTTGAGAAGGTTTTATAGCTGGTGATATTAATTATGTTAAAAATAATCGTTTCATTGAGACAACAGAAAACACCAGAAGAATGAATGAACTTTACTGGTTAAGCTTACAGTAGATAAACTTTTGAATCTGTTATCTTTTTTAAAACAGTTTAATGGCACTTGATCAAAAGTAATTAATTTAGCACTTATTGTGTTGATTAAGTAGATCAGCTTTTACCCCTTTGTTCCGTTGCAAGTCGTTTCTACGACAAGTAAAAAGTAATTGCTGTCGAAGAATTAAAGGACAAAATCTTGTGAAAAGGGAAGATTCTTTTAAAATTTTAACTCTTCCTTTAAAAGTTTTAGCCTGTGTCTTCGTTTGAAAACGAAATTTTTTTTCGGATCAATAGCATATGTTTCAAACAGCATAGGTGAAGTTCCTGAAAAGTCTTCATCAAAATAACCGAACTAAATGTTCATTGATTTACTGTACTGTGACGGAGACGGCCGTAGCTTTTAATAAACATCGTCAGGATTGAAAGATGACTAGAGACTATCGGCAGTCAGATCGGAAACACAATGATGAATTAGAAGAGTTCATTCATCTGATGTATTCTTCAATATCACTAAATGTTAAGGTCTGCTCCTCAGTATTTGTAAAAGCTCAGTTCAGACTCGACAATTATTTATGCGGTTTTTTGCTTCACTATGGTTAATCCAGGGTTAACCAATGGTTGTAAAGAATTAGCATCCTCATTCAACAGTGCTAGGTA